AACTTGTTTGGTTTGCTTTTTTTCAGAAATGGTTTTGGAAAATTGTTTTGGGGAGAGAGTTTTAAAAAAAGTGATTAATTTGATGTGTATGAGAGAGAGTGATTTTGGAAAATAGATAACCAAGCAAAATTTTGAGATTTTTTTTTGAAAAAATTTGTTTGGTTTGATTTTTTTTAAAAACTTATTTGTATAGAAAATTTCCCAAAATTTTTTCCGAAATGCAAACCAAACGAAACCTTTTTTTAGCTTACCTTTTCTTCTCTTTTTTTTTATTAATTTAATTTAACTAAATTAATTTTGTTTAGAAAGAATATTTTAACTTTTAAACTTTTTTTTGTGAAAATAATAATAATAATTATAATTTATATATAATATTTTATCTTATTAACTTAATTTATTTTTTTTATTTTTTTTATACTCTTTTAATCACAACCTAAACGTGACTCACCTGTTAAGCAAGATCTAACTAATCTTCTTTGAAAATTTTGGATTTAATTTTTAGTTATAAGTCATTTTATTTGATTGAGAATTTGAGAAGAAATTTAAAAATAAAAAAAAATAAAATATATTTATATTTTACCTAATTTTATATATATACATATTTTTTCTTTTTCAAATCGCTCAACCAAACATAACGTTAAGGATTGCATCACTTTAGAAGAAGAGCAAATCTCCATCACAAAGCTCTCTAATTCGAGAACCTACTTTTAAAAGCAAAAGAAACCATTTTTCAAAAGCACCTCCCTCTCTCTCTCTCTCTCTCTCCCCATTATTTGTATAAATTTATGCCCCTAATCCGACCAACCTCCCCAACATTCTCACTCCCTTCCTCTTCTCTCCACCTCTAAAAAAAATACGCAAAACAAAACAATACACAAACATAACCACATGACTCCTCTCCTCTTCTACTCCTTCCTCTACTTACTGTCTTCATCTTCCAATGTAAGCTCCTCTCTCTCTCTCTCTCTCTCTCTCTCTCAAAACACAAAAACATATATATACATCTGTTTTTTTTTTTAATGTGTTTTATATGATTTCATTTGCCAATGTAGGTGGGTGTCGCCGGCGCCGGCCATAACTCCGGCGAATCTCCGTCGGCCGAAGTGAACCCATTCACACCAAAAGCATTTCTGATTCGTTACTGGAACAAACAGATCTCCAACACCTTGCCCAAACCATGGTTTCTTCTCAACAAGGCCTCCCCGTTGACCGCCGTGGAATCGGCGACTTTTTCAAAACTCGCCGATCAGAACTCCCTCTCCGCTAACCTCCGATCTTTCTGTTCCTCGGCGAACTTGCTCTGCTTTCCCGATTTATCGGCGAGCCTCGAAAAGCATGACCAAAACGCCAACTTTGCAATCTACCTAAACAAAAACTTCACCAACTACGGAACGAGTCGAGTCGGCGGAGTCGACTCGTTCACGAACTACTCCGACAACGATAACGTCGTCCTCGACTCGTTCCGCCGGTACAGCCGAGGCAGTACCGGACACAAAGACAAATTTTCCAATTATGCCCCCAGCACCAATGTCCCGGAGGACACCTTCAACACCTACGGCGCCTCCGCAACTGGCGGCTCCGGCGAGTTCAAGGCCTACAACAAGTTTGTCAACGTCCCCAACCTCCACTTCACCTCCTACTCCGCCGCCGCGAACGGCCGTGACCAGTCGTTCGGGTCTTACTCCGATGAGACAAATGCAGGGGATCAATCGTTCGTGAATTATGGACGAAACGGAAATGGAGCTGTGAATGGGTTCAATAGCTATGGAAAGGACTCGAATGTTATGGGGTCGAGCTTCAATGGCTATGGTGATTCTGGCAATGGAGCGAACGATTCGTTCACTTCGTATGGGTTCAATGGAAATGTACCCGAAAATAATTTCAAGATTTATGGTAATGGTGGCAATGCTGCGATTGATAAATTCAGTAGTTACAGAGATCAATCGAATGTTGGTGACGATTCCTTTCAATCGTACGACAAGAATTCCAATTCTGGGAAGGTGAATTTCGAGAACTATGGCAAATCGTTCAACGAAGGTACAGATAAATTTACTGAGTATGGTAAGGGCAAATCGGGAAACACAATCGGCTTCAAAATCTATGGAGTTAACAATACCTTCAAAGACTATGCAAAAAAGGGTGTTTCATTTGCTACATATGCTAATAAAAGCTCTGCTAAGCTGTCTTCAATGGCGGAGAGTGGCAGGGCTGTAAATAGATGGGTGGAACCGGGTAAATTTTTTCGGGAGAGAATGCTCAAGACTGGGATTGTGATGCCAATGCCTGATATTCGCGATAAAATGCCCACAAGGTCGTTTTTGCCCCGGCTGATTTCATCAAAATTACCATTTTCGACCTCGAAGCTTTCTCAGATGAAGGAAATCTTCCATGCCAGTGATAACTCGAGCATGGAGAGTATACTCGCGGATGCGTTGAGCGAGTGCGAGAGGGCACCAAGCCAGGGTGAGACTAAGCGGTGTGTGGGCTCGGCTGAGGACTTGATTGATTTCGCCATCTCGGTCTTGGGTAGGAACGTGGTGGTTCGGATCACCCAGAACACAAATGGGTCGAAGCAGGATGTGATGATCGGGTCAATCAAAGGAATCAACGGTGGACAAATCACGAAATCGGTGTCTTGTCATCAGAGTTTGTTTCCGTACCTACTGTATTATTGTCACTCGGTTCCTAAGGTTCGGGTCTACGAAGCAGATATTTTGGATCCAAAAACTAAGGCCAAGATCAACCACGGAGTTGCCATCTGCCACGTGGATACATCTGCTTGGAGCGCGGGTCATGGAGCTTTCTTGGCTTTGGGTTCGGGTCCGGGAAAAATTGAGGTTTGTCATTGGATCTTTGAGAATGATATGACTTGGTCTACTGCTGATTGAAACTGTTACAAACAGTTTTGTGCGTTGGGTTCTAATCGGGTGGGTAACAAAACCGGGTCACGAGTCCAACCCAAGTAGAAAGCTCAGTTGATTTACCCTTTGAATGTGGCTGTAAGTTACATTTTCAAGTTTATAATTTAATTATAAAGTGCCTAAATGAGCATGGTTTGATGATACAATAAGCTATATATTATTATTATTTTTTTTTTGCTATTTTATATCATTGCCTTAATGAATTCTTCTTATTAAAAATTATTGTGTTTTAAATTCTTCTATTGTCTAATAAAAATTATTCAATAATTTTATTCTATCATCACGACATGATAATATTGTGTTTTAAATGAATGAATGATGCTAAATTTATCTTTTGTTTAACATGTCCTAAGTTAGTAATTCAAAACTAAGGGCAAGTTTGGTATTTACTAAATAATACAAAAAGTCAAAAAGTCACTATCCTATTTAAGTCACATCATCTTATTTAAATCACATCACCTCTCTAACACATCACATCAAACCCAACTCATATAAGTCAATAAGTCAAAAAGTATAATTTTTTAGAATATCCCAAACCAATCCTAAAGTACTAACTTAAGTTTTGTTTAATATGTCAACGTATTAAGTTAGCAATTAAGATTTCTTTTGAAAGTTAGTTACAAATAAATTTACCCAAAAAAAAAAAAAAAAGAGAAGATAATATAAAAAAATTAATTTATTTGGTATATTCGTAACTTTTTGACTTATTCTAATAATTTTTAAAAATGGTTAAAATTTCCTTTTTGACACAAAATATGTTTACCAAATGGGATAAAAAAAAAATTAACAAAATGTGTTTTTTAAGCGGATAAACTGATTTTTTTAACCATATCCAATCAAAGGCTAAAGCATTGACAATTTTCAAGGGATCACTTGCTAAGTTGCTATAGCCATTGTGTGACTAGTGATTGAGAATAGGGGGGATTGCATACATTGAGAAATTCAAAAACCAATCACCAGTCAGCATTCAAGTGTTATATCCACAAAGGATTTAAAAAACTGTGGCAACAATGAAGTGGTCTCACACACCAATTTGTCGTACTATATTGTATGGGAAATTAAGGCCATATGCCAGCTGCCGTTGGGCCACTTTTTTTAGTTGGTGTGAATGTCCCATAATTTATTTATTTATTTTTTAAATATTCTCAAAACATAATAATTATTATAATTTGCTTTAATTCTTTTCAATTACTTCAAACAACTGTCATAATTATCATATTTAATTATAAATTACACATGTAATGTGTACCCACTTTTAATATATATATATATATATATATATGTTTTACTTCTTTTATATTGGAGATTCAACTTGAGAGAGCATTTGGATTTAGTATGTCTATTGTAAATTTAATTTTGGTGATTCAAACTGTTCACTTTTTAAAATTCATTGAGAAGAATATTCATGTAAAAAGTCAAAATGATTGGATTTTGATAGCTATATGTTTGAAACACATTTGTCTTTAAAAAATTGACAGTTATTCTAGAAATTATATTTGTTATCCATTTTTTTTAAAGATAAATGTGATTCAAACATATAACTACTGAAGTTCAATCAACTTGATTTTTTATATGAATATTTTTCTCAACAAGTACTGAAAAGTGAATAGTTTGAATCACCGAGAGAAGCCAAACCTTGTATACATAAAAAGTTTTGGACATTCTTGCATGGTCCTAATATCCAGTCTAAATAGGTATTAATCTTAATCACTTAGAAGGTCATGCAAAAAATTAATGTTATATTTGATTTAATAAATTTTAATTAATTTGAAAATTAATGTTATATTTGATTTAATAAATTTTAATTAATTTGTTATAATTAATGATATAATTAATTTTTCAAAATAAAATGAATAATATTTCATACAGAAACTTTTTTATTTTTCAATAGTATCCTTTTACTTATATACTCATCATAATTTCAAGTAAAATATATTTGGTAATAAAAAAAATTTAACAACTACTACAATAAATGCAAGTTGTCGAAAATTTCCTATTTTGGAAAATTTAGTGAAAAGTCCTATTTGAAAAACTTGTTTAGTGAAAGGCGTATAAAATCTCTTATAATCTAAGTAAGTCCTATCTATTTTGAATTGTATAATGAAAGATTTTTTTTTTTTTTTTTTTTTTTTTTTTTGAATTTGAGATAATTTCATGACATTATTACCCCTAATTTGTTACAGAGCCATAACTCATATGTCATATTTCATTTTGATAGAAATCTTGCAATGGTTGGTTCTATTATGGAATGGTCAAATGAATTGGGTATTAATTTTCATTTTCCCGAATGTGAAGGTTGAAGAAGGTTTTTGGGATAATTGTTATTGATTCTTGTTTTGTTGTTTTTCATTGGAGGCTTCGATACATCTCTGGTGTTCACTAAAAAATTATTCACATCTTCGTCAAAGGTATGTTTTATCATTCTTCATGTCTTTGTGAAATCGCAGATTGTGAGTTTCATTGTGGGTTTATTGATAATATATTTTTACTTGAGAGAGAGATTTGTACCGAGTAAATGGACCGAGTTAGTGTGAGCTTGGAGCAAATTGCAAGGTTGCTCAACAGAGATGACATAGCACGATGTGGCCTAAGGCAAGGTTCCGAATCAATTGGGTTAGCCCAAGATCTAGACGTAGGACCATGCTAGTTGTTGGACTTGGATCATGAGTCGAACTAGGCGAGGCTTGTGCGCCGAGCTAGGTGCTCTTGGATCAAGTGGAGTTTGCCTTGATAAATTAATGGAACTTGAATGAATTGATTGTGGCGAGCCGAGATGATTAAACGTTTGAGATCGGTAATGATCAGCTTAGCCCAAAAGACTAATCGAGATTGCAGAGCTAGGCCAGACGAGGATATGGTTAGCTCAACAAGAGTTGCCACGTAGCCCAATGAGTGGGCAAATAGGGGAATCAACTATTCGTGTGCGTCAATACCGTTTGGCTGTTTTGTCAATGTTGTTTGGCTGTATTGTCACGCACATACGTGGCGGACAAAGAGAGGGTAGTACATCCACGAGTCCAAGGAATGATGAGTAGGGTGGTGCGCACATAAACTATATAAATGGCGCAGTGCCTCCATGCACAAGTCTGGAACCCTTACATGTTCAGATCTTTTCGTTATCAGAGCTCTCTTAATCTCTAAAACTATACTAACTTGATCGTCGAAGGAGTATTTCGGCCACCAACTGCCAGGTAGCTCACTGTCGTTGTGTTCTCAAGTTATTCAGAGTGAAGCGAAGCTTGGACATGAGGAGTACGGAGAACGACAAATATTTGCTCCTTGCCGTCTGTGGGAATCCGACAGACAAAACCTTGTCCTCTAAGCTTTTCCGATCATCTTTTATAGCGAAAAATGATAATATTTCACTGTCCGCTATCGACGGTATCATGCCAGAGTCCATTCGGCGCAGAGATGGCATGCCTGCCATTTCAACGATAGCTGGTTTAGAGAACTCTGCACAAGGATTTCCTAGAGATGCGCAAGACAGGCGCGCAAGGAGTTCTAGGCACTCTGTCAGCCTAGAAAAACATTGCCAACTGCGAGACTTACACACTCAACACCTAGAAAACATGTTGAGAGACCAAGATACCATCATCAAGAAGATAGCGACAGAGATGGAGGCCATAAAACCACAAATGAAAGGAAAAGGTGTTACTGGAGTGAGGAACCACAGTAAGCACGCCCATTCTCGCTATTCCGGCAGTCAGAATAAACGCCACATCCCTTCACTCTCCGTCACAAGAAGCTTTAGAGCTGGAGACTACATCGTGCCGGCGACGACATCTTGTACACAGGACATCAGTTACCACCCCTCACGTCTAATGACGACGTCGAGATATTCACATTCTGACCGTTTAAAAAACCCGAGGGATGTGTTGGAGGAGCGCGCTCGCTAGCGAAAAGTATAGAGGGTGTCTGCATTGCAGCGGCTAGCCCCTAGAGGGCGAGCCAATCAAGAGGTCGCCATGCCGCCACCACCACGCTTGGCTACACACACCCCACTAGACAGAGTTTTAGCAAGGCTGAGTGCCACCTCTTTTTCCGTTGAAATCGAGAACACACCATTCCCCCTCTCTGGGTTCTATCACCCAAAGTTCACGCTCTACGATGGAAAGACCGATTAGTACATGCACGTAAGCCACTTCCGGAAGGTTATGACTGGGTAGAGGCGAAATGATGTGCTTATGTGTCTTATTTTTCCATCGAGTTTGGGCGAGTTAGGCCTAAAATGGTTCGAGAGGCTACTAGAGGAAAGTATCGAGAGGTGGCAGCAATTAGCGGAGGCATTCGTGACACAATTCAAGACCAACACCAAAACACCTAAAGAAGTTAACAACCTTTTGGGAATCAAGATGGAAACATGCGACTCCTTGAAAGTGTGCAATGCCAAGTATTGGGAAACATTCAACGACATTCTCGATTGCCTGACGAACCTAGCAATCACTCAATACAAGCGCGGTCTTCCAGTCAGATATAGACTCAGAGACTTGCTTACCATGAACCAACCGACAACTGTGGAGTTGCTCATGCAACGCATCAATGACTACATCCAAGTTGAGGATGGCACGGTCGCAGTTATCGTGAAGGAAAATCCAATAGTGGCAGACAAAAGAGTTGCGGGAAAATCCAATGTAGTCGGACAAGAGGATGGCCGTGCAAACAATCGTGGAAGAGAGCATGATCACGGTACTAACCACAACAACTTGGATAAAGGTCGAAACAATGATCAAGCTAGCAACCGACATGACACGAAGGATGATGCCAAGAGAAAGTTAAAGCCCCTGACTGGCATTACTACGGTCTTTATGATCTCGATTTATCGCATATTATGTGAAATTCGTGACGAGGAAAACGTCTGGTGGCCGGCCAAGTTGAGGGATACCTAGAGAGGATTCAATCCGAGATACCGGTGGACCTTTCATGATGAGAGAGGGCACCAAACAGAAGATTACATGCCGCTCAAACTACACTTGGAAGAGTTGGTGGTTGCAGGGCGTTTGGATCGTTACATTGATATGGGGGTCAATGCGGCTCCTTCAGAGCAAACCTTAGCAATCGAAGACATCTCCCCCTCCTCCAAGGAATGATCGATTAAGAGATCTGGGGAAATTAGTTTTGGAAGACGGCAATAAGAAGACTGAGGAAAAGAGGCATAAAATTCGTTGGATATAAATGGCCGATCTAT